TTATCATTTACCAATTTGTAAAGAAATAAGTAAGAAAACAATTTTTTATTCCTAAATTTATAAACATTTACTAAATGTAAATATGTGTAATGACAAAAGCATGCAGGTGTAGGCTTCAGGAATAGTGTCTTTTTATAGTCCCAGTAAACAGAAATAGTTTTCTCAAAGAGGAGAGTGACAAAACAAGGGGAGACCACTCTTCATTATTCATAACAATATGTTAACCAACTATAAGGAAATTGTCATTATTTACTATTTTATAAAGTTTGAATCAATTGGCCGATGTTTTGCCAACTATTCCAATAAATAATATGATAAATAAATAATGTTAATAAACAATCTAATAAATAAATATTGTTTATTATTTTTGTTGTCAGTGCTCGAGGACAGAGAAAATGTATAAATTTGCTTTCATAGGTTTAGGTTTTATTACAATTCTAATCATCGCTTCTTAAAACAATAGTCATGGTCGTTAAATTAATAGGTGTCAATGGAAAAACTGTTCTTTTTTACACTCCATTTTTTTGTGGGCATGAAAGTTGAAAAAATAAAATAAAAAATAAATTTTATAAGTAATAAACTTTTAAAATCCATTCTTTAATATGTTAGTCCACAGATTTCCACAGAAAGGAATATATATATATAATTATAAATGATTAAATTATGATTATGTTGTAGCATACCTACGGACAATATAGGTATGTCCCCATTCACATAAATACAGTAGTAAATACTGTATGTTGGTCTACAGTTGGGGATTCATTGTGGAATTCACTTGACTCACTTTTACCAGTTGACTACTACTTCTGTTCATCGCTGGCGAATCTTATATGTGTTGTTCTTGTCCTAAATATTATCGTTCATGTGATTATTCTATTCAGTAACCTTCTCTAGGTTACAACAGATTAGAAAACAAAATAATGTTCAAGTATAAAAAACAGTGCCAGACTAACACCTAAATACCCTTGTTTGACCCTTGATGATTCCAGAATGAAATATATATGATTTTCAATGATTAAATTATAAATTTAAACCTGGTTTCCTTGTCAGAATGCTAACATTATTATCATTTGACCGTGCACCCATAGAACCCTTTAATACCCAATCATATAACAAACTGAATTAGTTTTCAAGTATTTTTATTTATTTCTTGTCCATCTATATATAAAATTCTGTGACTTCTGTTAGTTTGTCCATCTATCACAGTCTCTAAAATAGCCATACGATGAGTGATTGAAACCAGATTTTATGGGTGAAGTGCAAACAGATAAGGGTCTACAAAGTACAGTTGGTTTTACTAGGGTGTGTAACTTAGTACAATAGATTTTCATTCATTTTATTGGTAAAATTAAACATTTTATTATTTAACATGCAAAATAATACCTCTATTTAAAAAAAAGTAATGATTAAAATAACAAAAACTTATTTAATTAAATGCAATATTGTTTTGGGATATCTTTTTAAGTTTTTATATACAAGAATTCAATTTCCAGTTCACCCTGCGTTTGCGCAAACTATAAACCAAACATGAGGCCAAATGTTTCAAAAGTTGGAATTTGGCTCCAGAAAGAAATATTTATACAGTTGTATGTTGCATGCTCAAGAGTAAGAACTCCTACAAATTTATTCTTTGCTGTTAAAAAGAATAAAAGAAATTTTCTTAAAAAATATTGTTTACTGTGAAGTCCTATAAAATTAAATTAAATTAAAGAGATTATTAAACCATGAAGTAGGGTTTTTGTCAAAGTATTTTTCAGATTATTTTAATTTCATCGAATGGTTTGTTAAACTGAACAAAACATAGAGTTTGTAAATCATGACAAAAAATGTTAGTGTTAACTTCAACAATACTAAATACTGTGAGAATTTCAACATGTGTTGCAAAAAAATTCTAGTAAATGATAATTTACTATTTTTTCAAAAATGGGCAAACATAGCCATGCAACAATGTTATAGCAAAATGACAGTGAACATGTTAATAGTTTTATCAATATGAGAGGTATGGCCTTTAGGCATGTCCCAATGGTGCCACATGTTGGAATTATCACTCTAAGCATATATAATCAAGAAATGACCTCGTTGACAAAAATTATAGTGAGGTTTGAATTTGGGTCTCATCGTGTGTTATACACTGGTGTTTATTATACAAGGTTCGATCAAAAAATATCAGTACTGTTGTTAGCACAGACTGACCTTGAACTCAGGCATGTGCATTATGTTATAATGTTCTTGCTCAGATCCATTATTTATAGCAGTGCTTGGAAGGAAAGTGTGTAGAGTGTGGTCATCTCACCTCACCACAAAGGTTCCATCAGTGACCATGGCTTGTGCAGCAATTTTTGGCTAAGCACAACATTCCTCAGGTCTGACGACCACCATATCCTCTAGATCTTGCCCCTTGTGACTTGTTCCTTCTTCCAAAAATCAAATCTAACTTGAAAGGAACAAGATTTCAAGATGTCAAGGAAATCCAAGAGAATGCGACAGCAGCTCGCTATCCCAAAAACGAAGATTAAATGAGGAATTGATATGTGTTGTAGTTTTTTTTTATAGAACCAGTCCTGATACTTCTATGCTAGTGTATGTTATAAGACAGAAAACTGTTATCCTCATCTTCATTGCCATATTCACAACGTTTCAGCCAATGTATGCTCCATCCTTCTTCAGGTGATTGGTATTTCGAGCCAAACCTTTTATTTTGTCCACCAGGGTAGACTGTTCTAGTTCCACGTGCCATGCCTCTTCTGGATGTATCAGTTATTTACCTTTAACTCAACTCTCCAAGATTTCAGTTCACTACTGCTATGGTCTGGTATTGAACTCACAACTCTTTGGATCTAGTCACGGCATCTAACCAACGTCTTTATCCACTGGGCCATGTGTCTTCTCAGATTTCCAGAGTTTTTCACAATATCCTAAAAGTCCCCAGTAGTGTCTCAGTCTGGCATGTCTCAGTCCAAAGTTGTCTTTACTTTTTTGGCACTATTCCAGAAAGTGAATCAGTGATCTTTCAAGTTACTTTGAGAGGAGATGGGCACTGCCAAGTAAATACCTTTGCTTTAGATACAAAGTACCAACACTATGATGATCGACTAGACCATTGGAACAATTGTTGAAAATCTAGTACATTAAAAATTAGTGCCGTCTGTTTTATGTTACTTAGAGAGGAGATGGTCATTGCCAAGTGGCTTTTTTTTACTCTTGGAAATTATTTTTTGTTTTTGATTGCTACCTGAATTTTACCAAAAACAAAATAATTTCCATGTCTGAAGATGACTGAATGTACAGTCGAAAGTACTTGTGTATTTAAGAAAGACCTTATACAGCTTATAATTTATAAAAACAAGGATCCTAACATTCATCGAGTGATTGGTAGGTTAATGCATCTTTAAAAATTTTGTTAGCGAAGGGATTTCATCATTTTATATCATTAACTTTACGAATTTACTTTTTGTATGAGTGATTCATTGTAATATATATATATATATATATATATATATATATATATATATATATATATATATTTTTAAACACATTTTTATGTTTAACGTTTAGTTTATTTGTTGTATTTTATAGATAAATATATTAACAAATGCTGAATTTCCGATAAATTTTCATTAGAAAATATAACGGCCTGAAAATTTCAAGACATTCAGGCCGGTAAATGTTATTTAATTCTTATCTTAAAAATTTTGCTTAAACATTGTATCTATAAATAACAACGTTAAAATAAAAAATGTCTTTAATAAATAAATTGTCGGACCTTGTCCATTTCTTAATATATGACGTCATTTGTTTACATTTGACATAGGATAGAGCAGTTATGAATGTATAGATTCATGGAAGATTGAAGTTTATAAGCAGTAAATTCGACCTGGTCTACCTAAAGGTTCTTTGTTTTCTTACAGAGGTAAGGCATGTCAGCGTAAATGACGGTTCCATATAGGATGCAGGTTCGAATCCTGTCAAAGAACGAATATTTTCTCTGAAAATTTCTCGGACATTCAGGCCGGTAAATGTTATTTAATACTGTTTATCATAAACAGAGCATTTACTTAAATACTTTTTGTATCTATAAATAACAACGTTAAACATAAAAATGTCTTTAATAAATAAATTGTCGGACCTTGTCCATTTCTTAATATATATATATATATATATATATATATATATATAATATTATATGAAAAGATTACTTAACGCTTAAATATCAATTTTATCCCAACTTCATAGTTTCTTGTAACAATTTCCAGTCTTCAGAGATTGTGGTTTTAAATGGTATTTCCAATTATTTTTTAAATGTTTTCAATTTGTTCTGCATCTTTTTCAATCCACTTTTTTACTCAATTTTGTATATGTGAATATTCATGAATATATATATATATATATTCGTTTAAGTCTTTTTATATATATATATATATTTCGTTTAAGTCTTTTTATTATATATAAGACTTAAATGCTAATATTGCATGGTTATAATTTATTACATTGGAATCATAATTACGATCCAATTCATCAGACCTAAAAATATATATATATATATATATATATATATATATATATATTTAGGCAGCATATTTTCATTCAAGCAGGTTTGGTTAAATAATTTAGATGTATTATGTCTATTTATTTTGCTTTTTAACCTTTCAGGTCCAAGAATTAATTTTTTGGTGGCTGTAGAAAATTGATTAAGAAAAATTCCAAAATTTTCTTTCAAATAATTTTTATTTCCTGAAGTACTTTCAATCTCATTTTCATATGTGTTAACACCATAAATTGAAATTTTTTTTTTTTTTTTTTACCTCTATGCAAGGGAGGTAACTTACGTGATTTTAAAAAAATTTTTTTTAAAAAACTTTAAATTTTTTAATTTTAGTAGGAAACTGCTGGTAGATCCAACACGCTTAATTTTCCTTTCATTTCTCCTTTCTTTCATTCTTTAATATCTGGCTCTTTTTCATTCTTTACTTATTTCTCATTTTTATTACTTCATTCTTCAGTGTCTACCCCTTCTTTTTCCTTCCTAATTTCCTCAATATTTTCCTTATCTTTTTCTTTCTTTCCTCATGGTTTTCTTTATTTTCTCGACTTGCTATTTGTCCAAATATTTCTTTCTTTTTTCTTTCTTTCTTTCTTTATTTCTTTACACTCTTTCTTTCTTTCTTTCTTTCTTCACAGTTCCTCTTTCTTTCTTCAAACTCTTTCTTTCTTTCTTTCTTCACAGTTCCTCTTTCTTTCTTTCTTCACACTCTTTCTTTCTTTCTTCACAGTTCCTCTTTCTTTATTTCTTTCTTTCTTTCTTTCTCCACAGTTCTTCTTTCTTTCTTTCTTTCTTTCTTTCTTTCTTTCTTTCTTTCTTTCTTCACAGTTCCTCTTTCTTTCTTTCTTCACACTCTTTCTTCACACTCTTTCTTTCTTTCTTCACAGTTCCTCTTTCTTTCTTTCTTTCTTTCTTTCTTTCTTTCTTTCTTTCTTTCTTTCTTTCTTTCTTTCTTTCTCCACAGTTCTTCTTTCTATCTTTCTTTCTTTCTTTCTTTCTTTTCTTTCTTCATAGTTTCCTCTTTTCTTTCTTTCTTCACACTCTTTCTTCACACTCTTTCTTTCTTTCTTCACAGTTCCTTCTTTCTTTTTCTTTCTTTCTTTCTTTTTTCTTTCTTTCTTTCTTTCTTCTTCACAGTTCCTCTTTCTTTCTTTCTTCACCTCTTTCTTCACACTCTTTCTTTTCTTTCTTCACAGTTCCTCTTTCTTTATTTCTTTCTTTCTTTCTTTCTTTCTTTCTTCACAGTTCTTCTTTCTTTCTTTCTTTCTTCACACTCTTTCTTTCTTTCTTTCTTTCTTCACAGTTCCACTTTCTTTCTTTCTTCACACTCTTTCTTTCTTTCTTTCTTTCTTCACAGTTCCTCTTTCTTTCTTTCTTTCTTTCTTTCTTTTTTCACAGTTTCTCTTTCTTCCTTTCTTTCTTCACACACTTTCTTTCTTTCTTTCTTTCTTTCTCATTCCTCCACCAGATTTTCTTTCACTCTGCAAGCAAGCACACTTTACCTAACAATCACACTTTGTATCTATTCCAACCTATTATCGTTTGCCAAACAGTCGCATGATGTCTGCTGGTCTAATGTCCAGCCTATAATTACTAATGCACCTACATACCTGAGCACATCCTCCCCCAACCCTGCGAGTGTTTCTTACCTCCTTTTCCACCTTTACTTCATAAATCACAACACCTCCCGCGACCTACCATCACAGCTGAATCCTTCCCAAGTTAGGGGAAAAATTCTGATTTCGTAAAATGAATTAACTTGTAATTTGTATAACCTAGACTTATAAAAAGAATACAGAGAAATATATATATATATATATATATATATATATATATATATATATATATATATATATATATATATATATATATATATATATATATATATATATATATATATATAAAAGTGAACATTAGAGGCCTCTAAGTGTTGACTTCAATGTTCACTTTTATATTTACACACACTCTATCTCTGATATCGAGCATTTTGTCCCATAATATAGCACACCTTAAGAGTATATTTTTTTCATATATATATATATATATATATATATATATATATATATAAAAATGCAATGTATATCCATATGTCTCACTGAATAATTGTGACAAGCTTTGTTTACTTATTTTCAATATGATCCTCTCATATTCATGGACAAGTTTCTTACTATCCTTATTAAAGGAAGAGAGAAAATTACCATGTTGATACATATTTATTTATTCCAAGCACTTTCGACATTAACACAATGTCATCATCAGGATGTTGTCTAAATTATTCAATGAGACATGCCTTAATGAAAACATGCTGCCAAAATATAACCAGTATATACATACATACACACACACATATATATATATATATATATATATATATATATATATATATAATTATATCAATAAATATACATATTATCCTTCACTGATGGCATGTCTCTGAGTTTCATGCACAATACAATCTTCAGGTGCTGGGTAAAGACTGTTATATAAGTTAAATTTTTTAATAAAAATGATCTGGTTAATGCAATGTTGGCACAGTCCATATATTATACAGTGATTATGGATTTTTATTAAAAAGTATGTATTTAAAATAGACAGGATTTAGATTTTATATTTTAAAAACTGGTGATTAATATTTTATTTTATATTTAAAATAAACAATATTATTATTATTATATGATAAATATTATTGTTATAAGACTTCATGCTAAACAATATTTTCTAAGAAAATTTATTTTCTTCTTTTACCTTTTTAACAGTGAAGAATAAATTCTTAGGATTTCTTACTCTTGAGTATGCAACATACTGGCCATGTGTAAATATTTCTTTCTGGAGCCAAATTCAACTTTTTAAACCATTTGTCTTTGTGATTTGTTTATAGTTTGCACAAACACAAGGCGAACTACAAACTGTATTCTTGTATATATAAAAACTTAAAGAAAAGGTATCCAAAAAACAATATAGCACTTTTGTATATATGAGCCGAATTCCAACTTTTTGAATTCATGTAAATAAAAACAAAGACAATATATGCAAAAATAATATTGCATTTTTATTAAATAATTATTTGTTATTTTAATCATTAATTTATTTTTGAAATAGTGGTAGTATTTTGTATGTTAAATAATGAAACTTTTAATTTCTCTAAAAAAATGAAAATTTATTGTACTAAGTTACTCACCTTAGTAAAACCAACTGTACTTTGTACCCATTTACCTGTTTGCACTTCTCTCCCAAATTTGGTTTCCATTGGTCAATGTATGTCTATTTTAGAGCATGTGATGGACGGACTGACAAACTAAAGGAAGTCACAGAATTTTATATATAGATAGGTAGATAGATAACGAAAGATCCAATTTTGTTTTAATGTATCACGTGCAGATCACAGCATGTGAGTCATCCAAAAGAGCAATGCCAGGAGTGAGTAAGGAATGATACTGGGATTGTGTTGAAATCCAGTCATCCTGTAATATAAGTATTGAATGTCCACTGACTGGAATATGTCAGGAGATTTCAAACACTTAATGCTTTTTGATGGACAAGTATTTTTTTGCTCCATTGTCACAAAGGTACCCTTAAGATTAAAAAATTTTAGTATAAATATATTTGCTCTATATCTGCTACTGGTAACCCAATTCATCATAAATGGGTGGCTGGTGTCTAAATCAGCACCCCAACATGGTTTCCTGCTGGTGAGGAGGGTGGCCTGTTACCCTGTCACCCAGCAAAACAAAAAACAAGAGTCAAGGAGTTGGCCCTGGGCATCACCAAACATCATCAAACCTCTACACATCAATGATACTCATGAATATTCATCAGGTTAACTGAGAAGTCTAGGTAAGTTATGGTGAATGCTAAAAGGCTAAATAGTGTCTCAAGCATTCTTCAGGATGTGGCCGATGATGGCTCTCCACAACTTCCTATCACTTAGCAGTGTTTGTCTTTTTACTATCCCTCCTACTCTTTGTTTTGCCATCCACTTACACACGTTTATTAGGTAGATTACTTGCTGTTTCACTCTGCCTTTAATATATCCTGTGTGTGTCAAATTTTTCTAGCCTTCTTTCCTTATTATGTGTCCTGGAAATTTAAAATGTTGGTTTCTGATTTTAGGTGTAAGTTACATTTTTTTTTTTACTTTTTTAACAGCATAAAATAGAAAATATATATTTTTTTTTTATAAAAGAGAATTTTTATAACTGAAAAACAAACACAACAAAAAGAAAGAAAAAAAACGTGGCCAGCAATTTCTTTCAAATTTTCAAATAAAGCAAATGTCGCTATAAAGCAACAACAAACATTGTGATTGTTTTTATAATGGAGAAAAATCTTGTCATTAAAAATTTTGGTAGAGTAATTTTTTTTTTATATTTGTTTCAAGTTTTAAAAAAAGTTCTGTTGATGCTGTAAAAAAATATGGAAAAATTTCTTGCAATATGAGAGCAATAAAAAAAATAACCAAAAATAAACAAATATGAGAAGAAAAGTTTTGCGAGTAGAGATTGCTGTTAGTATTTGGTTTTAGAAGTTGAGATTAAATTTTAAGCTCAGAAGCAGAGCATGAAAGTGGAACTTGTTTTTTACCAGGCCTCATATTTAGAATAAACATTTTTATCTTTTGAAAAACTTCCATCCATATTATTAATCATTTCATCTCTGTTCTTACAATATCCTCCTTGGAATTATCCCTACTAATAATATATATATATATATATATATATATATATATACATATGTATGTAGGTATGTATAATAGCTGGCTACGCATATATACCTGTCCATTAGGGTGGCTAGCTAATTCCTATTGCAGACGCTCGCCCAGGCACATCTGTGTTTGTTCAACACCCACAGAGCCCACCTGTGGTTTATACTGCAACTATGCTGAGCAGACCTTAGTTACAGTTTCTGGGAGAGAGTGTGTTATCTAATGTAATCAACAATCTGAACAAGGCCAGAACACTCAGTCCCTCGGTCACAATGATTTGTGACTTCATGCTAACACAGCTATCGACAGCCCCAAGGGTTATGTCTACCCAATTTCACTCACAAGGCTTAATCAACCCATTATATATATATATATATATATATATATATATATATATATATATATATATATAACATGTGTGTGTTTGTATGTTACATCTTTGAAAAACTTAATGTCATGAAGACTTTTTAAAAAAGTTTTATCTAAATATGAGGCTGAATAAAAAAAATCTGATGTTAAAATCAAAATTAAGTGCAGTAAAAATAAAAAAAAGACCCAAGAAAAATCGCAAAAAAAAGAAAAAAGTTAAGAAAAAATAAATAATTTAAATTTGACCAGACATTTTCAACCTCTTTAGACAGTAATCCAAATAAATTTTGAGGCTAATATAAAATTTTTGGCTCTGTAGAACATTCTATAGAAGTTTCTATGAATTGTAATCCTTCCTTGAATTTTCTTTTTTTGTACCATGTCTCATCATGGCTCTCCACAATTTCCTGACCTTTATCGCTCTTAGTAAAGTTTGTCTTTTTTCCTAATCTCTGTTCTGTCAACCATTTATACAAACTCATGGTTATTTCATGTTTTCCTCTTAGCTTCAATATGTCCTGTGAGTGTTATATTTTCAAAGCCCTCTTTCCTCATGATAAAATTTCATTTGTCTCTTTCTGATGCTAAGTATAAGGGTCCATTCTTTTATAACTGTCATAAAATAACCCTTCAGAAACAAATAAATGCCCTCTCTCAAATGTTCATTTTTTTGGATACCCGCCCCATGTTTATTATCTCCCCTCCTTCAACTTGTTAGTTTTTGATTTTTTTGATACACCTTTATTTATATTTGTAACATTAGCATGATTTCATTAAAATAATTTTGACTTTGAATAAAGACATTTGACGGGCATTTAGTTATATTTCTTCAAGGTCTTTTTATAGTTTGAAAAACTTGTTTTTAATTATTTCCCAAGCACCCTATTTATTAAAACCTGTTTATTACATTTTCTTATAGATTTTTTTTCCAACTACCCCATTTATTGAAAACTCTTGTTTATTGTGTTTCATATTTTTTCCCAGCTACTTTATTCATTAAAAACTCTAGTTTATCAGGTTTTACCATTTTTTCCCCAACTGCTCCATTTATTACAAGCCCCCTCACTCCTTGCATTCGGTGCCTGTGAGTAGCTTTTTCATCTGTGTATTCCACATGGTCATCAATGTTTGAGATTTCAAAGGCAGCTACGCTCTCTTTAAATTAATATAGATATAACATAATGTTTTTAATTTTCATTTCTCTTACTTTTGCCTTTCTTAGGCTGAAATATCAATAAGAAGCCATGTTGATTCTATTTAACTATTTGATGATCATAAATAACCTTTTTATACATTTTGAATGTTATGTCCCTCACTTCAGAAGTCTGCATTGCTTGGCACCGCAAATGTTCAACGGAAGGTGCTCTCTGCCTGAAGTCATATGACTAGATGAAGAATGATCCGCATACAAGGCACCCGATTAAAATTGAAAAAAAATCATGCATTAAAAGAAAATATAATAACAATTATAGTAATAATAATTGTCATAAAAGAATTTCCTTTGTATTTTATAAGTCCAGCAGTAATAGTTTATCTTATATACCAAGAGCTGGTCTACCCTTACTGCTTGGGTATTTATATTAATCTTATGCTAATTATGCACTCATTTACAAACATCAAGACTTATTTGTCAAACTTCCTACCTTTGAGCAGAGAGGAACCCAGACGAGGCTATGTCGAAGGGCAGAATCTCATTTGAGGAGGTAGACAAACCTGACTCCGTGTCTACGGGGTATTTTTGCCTGAGCCTACGTGCTCGGTACGCCCCACATAATAATTGGCCTTGTACCACATCCTGCCTCATGGGTAGGTTGGGTAAATACCGGCACTCATTTACATATCACTACAATAATAATTCTGTAAATTATTATTTAAGATAGTTTTAATGTAATCTTTCTAACTTCTTTTTTCCCTATTTTGCCTTACTTAGGCTGAAATATCAATAAGAAGCCATGTTGATTCTATTTAGTTATTTGATGATCATAAATAACCTTTTTATTCATTTTAAATGTTATGTCAATGGCTTCAGAAGTCTGCATTGCTTGGCACCACAAATATTCTGTGGAAGGTGCTCTCTGCCTGAAGTCATATGACTAGATGAAGAATGATTATCATGCAAGGAACCCGGTTAAAAATGAAAAAACTCGGATAGCGGCCTGCAGAGTTGCGAGGTTCGGAAACTCCTGTTGTTGATGATCCCTTTTTATTCCCCTAATAATAATAATAATAATAATAATAATAATATTAATAATAATAATAATAATAATAATGATAATAATAATAATAATTTTTATGAAGTGGAATTACCTCTGTATTTTATAAGTGCAGCAGTAGTTCTTTATCTCGTATACCGAGAGCTGGTCTACCCTTACTGCTTGGGCATTTATATAATCTATGCCTTAACTATGCTAATTAGGCACTCAGTTACATAATACTACAATAATAATTCTGTAAAAGCTGCTATCTGTCTGAAGTTCTATGACTTAATGGAGAACACACATAATGCAATATCTCCAGTTGAAAATGAAAAACCATGCAGATGAAGGTACAATAATAATAATAATAATAATTCTGCAAAAGGTGCTATCTTTTTGATTGATTTGTTTTTTATGGCTTATCAACACTTTGTAGATTATTTAAAGCCAGAAAATATTTTTTTTGATTATAAAATATTTTTTTAAGATAATAATTTTTTAGTCTTACTAATTAACCCATAGCTAGGGAGAAAGAGGTGGATTCATACTTAATCAGAATTTGATAAACAAACAAGAAATTATAAGGTGTATATAAAGATGGTGGTCAATTCAATATTTACAATCAATATATAAATTGGGAGACATAGCGGCTCAGATTGAGGAATTGGTAGAGCCTAGTTCGAATTCCAGTTATGTTCATTTACGTGCTAATACCCTTGGGAAAGGTATGAATCCTTTTCTTCACTTCCAGCTCTGGATAAATAGCAGGACAGCCTGGGTTCTATAGCCTTGGATGGTAACAGGTCTTCTTTCTATGCAGAAAGAAATGGCAACTTACTGCAGGAAAAAAAATCTGCCTCGTCAGTCACGTATCAAAAGATACATGATCGCCTATGCATGTATCATGCATGGCATATAACTGACTGATCTATCTATCTATATATCTATCTATCTATCTATCTATCTATCTATCTCAGTCTGTTCATTATCTATCAGTTATGGATAGTGGCTCGGATAGAGGAATCGGAGAGCTGATTTTGAATTCCATTCAAATCCATTACATTCACTTACATGCTAATACCCTTGGGAAAGGTATGAATCCACTTCTTCTCCCACCAGCTATGGGTGAATATCAGGACATACCAGGTTCTATAGCCTTGGATGGCAACTGGTCTACCACAGAAAGAAATGGCAACCTACTGTGGGAAAAAATCTGCCTTGTCAGTCATGTATCAAAAGATACATGATCGCTATGCATGTATCGTGCATGGCATATAACTGACTGATCTATCTATCTATCTATCTATCTATCTATCTATCTATCTATCTCAGTCTGTTCATTATCTATCAGTTATGGATAGTGGCTCGGATAGAGGAATCGGAGAGCCGAGTTCCAGTTGAATTTATTACATTTGCTTACATGCTTGGGAAAGATATAAATCCTCTTCTCCCACCAGCTATGGGTGAATATCAGGACATACCAGGTTCTATAGCTTTGTATGGCAACTGGTCTACTGCAGAAAAAAATGGCAACCTACTGTGGGAAAAAATCTGCCTTGTCAGTCATGTATTGAGAGATACATGATTGCCTAAGTGTGTATCACACATGGCACATAACTCACTGCTATTGATGATAAGAAGAAAAGGTGCTGAGCCTGTTGTTGATGATCACTTTTTATTCCCCTATTCCAGATTCAAAATGCCTATTTCCATAATTAGCCTCAGAATTACTAGGGAGGTGGCAAATGTTTAAGGTCTGGTTATATCATGTTCTTAGAAATGAAACAAAGAAAAAAAAATGAAAGATGATAAAAAGAAAGAAAAAATGATTAAAAGAAAGACGTGAAATTGATTGATGTTAGGGTTAAAAAAAAGCGGTTATTTTAAAATTAGCAGAGTTGGCACAGGCTAGAATCGAGAGTAAGTAGACAGCTTAGTTTATATGAAATGGCCGTGTGGTATCCCACAGGGTCACATAATTACATCATGAAGAGCACTTTCGCGGTAATTTTCCTTGAACCACGCCACCCCCATATGCCGGGTGGTTCCTTCCACAGCTGAGCGGGGATCATGATACTTCTCTGTACCCCTCTGAAATAAAATAAAGCATGGTGAGGTTAAAGGTCAGGGTCATGAGGTTAGAAATGTGGATCAATGTGGATTGAGCAGGATTTTTTTATTGTTACCTGTGGCTTCTTTATCAAAAAGATCAGGAGAGAGAGATAAGGGCAATGGGAAATTTAGGATCAGGAGAGTTGGATAAATGAATAGTAAAGTTTTATTATCATAGATCAAATCCAATTTGCTGGTCACTGAGTCAAAAAAATGCATCTTGGCGGATCAGTCTTAAAAAACTTGTATCTATGTTGATTTGTTTGGTTTCTTTTGTTTTACAGCACATCAAACTATAAGGGTTATTTAATGACGACAATTTTTTTATTGCTATTACAGTGTAACCCGGATATAAGAGAGTTGTCAGGACCGGAGAAGAAGTCTCTTATATCCGGGTTTGGTCTATTCTGTTTAGTTAAGTATGGGCTCTAATTTGGGACCAGAGAAAATCTCTCTTATATCCGGGTTTGGTCTATTTTATATACATTAACACGGGCTCTAATTTGGGACCAGAGAAAATCTCTCTTATATCCGGGTCTCTTATATCCGGGTTACACTGTAATATTTTTTTCCAAAAATGTATTGCTGGTAATATTTTTTTTCTTCAAAAATCTATTGTTGTTGGTAATATTCTTTTTCAAAAATATATTGCTGGTAAAAATGTATTGCTGGTAATAATTTTTTTACAAAAAAGCATTTCTGGTATTAAAACCTATTTTTACACTTACCTAATGTTTTGACCCCAGTTTAGGGGTTAATTATTTGCCCATAGCTGGGACCCTAACAGGTGCTACCACCCCTAGTCAGGATGGACCTGAGAACACCAGCAATTAAGAGGTTGTTTCATGCTCCACAAAACCTCCTGATCAAAGGCCTTGCTGTCGGACATAGTTTAACATCTTACCCAGGACATGCATGTAGTTTATGATTATACTAAGGGGTGGATCTATGTTGATCAATGTGGACTGAGCAGGATTTTTTGGGTTACTTCTGGTTTCATTATCAAAAGAAAATTTATGATTAGGAGAGATGGCCAAAAGAAGAAGTTTTATTATCTTTGATCCCTTTGAGCCCTGACCACTGCTTTACCAGTGGTAGAGGAAAATGAAGACCAGCCATTGGTTGAACAGTGGTAGAGAAAAATGACTTATTGCCTAACTACTGGTTTGGACGGTGGGTAACTATTTTTATTTCTCACATTACATAATCATTTGCAAATTTTGACTCAAGAGATCAGGCAGAAGGGTTAAAATTGTTTAGGGACTCAGAGCTCAAAGGGTTAACTCATGGATCAAGTGGTCAAAGAGATAAATAAAAAAATATATATTGGTGGATCAGTCTTAAAAAACTAGGATCTAATGTAACTAATAAGAGCAGGCATCAAGATACATCTCTGTACCCTTCGGAAAAAAAATAAAGTATGGATCGGGGTCAGGAAATGTGGATCAATGTGTCCGAAACAGGATTTGTTTTATTATTACTTGTGGGTACAAAAGCAAATTTGAGATTAGAAAATATGGACAAAGGAAGGAAAAGGTTTATTATCATGGATCAAAAGGGCAAAATGGATCAGTTTAAAAAAAAACAGGGATATAAAGTATCTAATTAAACTAAGTTGAGCATGGATCATGGTACTTCTGTATAACACTGAAGTAAAATAAAAGCAGGTTAAAGGTCAGGTTTAACAGGTATGAAATATGGATCCATGTAGGCTGATTTGAATTGTTACCTGTGGTTTAATTATCAAAATAAATCTATAATTGTGAGTTTTGGGCAAAGGATGTGAACTCATGGATCAAAAAATTTAAACAGATATCAGCTATGCAAAATTATCAGAGATCAAGAAGTCAAAATTGATATCAGCTATATAAAAATATCAGAGATCAAGAAGTCAAAATTGATATCAGCTACGTAAAAATATCAGAGATCAAGAAGTCAAAATTGATATCAGCTACGTAAAAATATCAGAGATCAAGAAGTCAAAATTGATATCAGCTATATAAAAATATCGGAGATCAAGAAGTCAAAATTGATATCAGCTATGTAAAAATATCAGAGATCAAGAAGTCAACATTGATATCAGCTATGTAAAAATATCAGAGATCCAGTATTCAAAATTGATATCAGCTATATAAAAATATCAGAGATCAAGAAGTCAAAATTGATATCAGCTATATAAAAATATCGAAGATCCAGAATTCAAAATTGATATCAGCTATGTAAAAATATCGGAGATCAAGAAGTCAAAATTGATATCAGCTATGTAAAAATATCAGAGATCAACAAGTCAAAATTGATATCAGCAATGTAATGATATCAGATATCAGGAATTCAATATTGATATCAGCTACCATATAGTCATTGTAAACTCCACAATTCTTTTATTAGTATACAATTCTCCAGGACTACATTCTTTTTTAAATTTTAGAGTTGTTTTTCTTCTAGACTGCTTGACTACCAAGGCTGAAGCGTCCAGTTTGCTCTACTATTTGGCCCATAGCTAGGGAAAGAGAAGATGGATTTATACCTTTCCTAAGAATATTTGTGTAAGCAAATATAGCAAACTTGACTGGAACGCAAACTCAGTTCTTTGATTTCTCATTCTAAGCTGTTATACATTGTACCATCTGTGCATCCTTAACAATATGAACTCAAATTCTCAAAGGAATGGTAGCAATTATGTCATCAACATATTTTCCGAAATAATGACCCTCAGGATTTTGTAAACTGGAATCAATCAAATAAACACAATGGTAAATTTCGTATTACTATAAACATTATTTTTAATGGGTACATATGTTTGGGTTGACATCTCTTTTTTTTTAATTTTGTTTTAAACAGTCGAATTAATATCAACTGGCCTAGATCAAGAAATCCTGTTAAAGAGAAATATGCCTCTCGACAAGTATCAAGTCTATACCTCATAATGGCCTATAATCATGTCATGTTGAAAACCAGTTCCCCTACAATCTAAGCAATGTCAGTTGTAGTCAATGCCTAGATGGGTGACTGCTTGGGAATACCAGGTGTCATTAGTTTGGATATACATCTAGTATGGTTTATGGCCATATCATGTTGAAATACAGGTTCCTGTACAATCAATGATATTAAGCAATGTCAAGACTGGTCAGTACCTAGATGGGTAGCTAATTGGAAATACTAGATGCTGTATGCTTGGATGTATAGGTGGTATGGTCTATGGCCACATCATGTTGAAACACCAGTTGCTGTAAAATCACTGAAGTTAAGCAACATTGATCCTGGTCAGTACCTAGATGGTTAACTAATTGGAAATACTAGATGCTGTATGCTTGGATGTATAGGTGGTATGGCTTATGGCCACATCATGTTGAAACACCAGTTGCTGTACAATCACTGAAGTTAAGCAACATTGATACTGGGCAGTATCTAGATGGGTAACTAATTGGAAATACTAGATGCTGTAAGCTTGGATGTATAGGCCGTATGGCCTATGGCCACATCATTGTTGAAACACCAGTTGCTGTACAATCACTGAAGTTAAGCAACATTGATCTTGGGCAGTACCTAGATGGGTAACTAATTGGGAATACCAGGTGCTGTAAACCTGGATCCACAGTTGGCATGGCTTATAGCCACATCATATTGAAACACTGGATCATGTACGGTCATAAAGTTAAGCAATATTGAGTCTGGTTAATGTCTAGATGGGTGACCACTTAAGAATACCAATGCTATTTAAGGAATGCTCTTCTATAAGCCTGATATCTGCTATATTCATTCTTGTACCCAAAATGGATTTCTTGATAATGTTTGACTAAAAACGAAATCTATTTAAAAATTACCGTGTTTATGTTTGTGGTATAAAAATGAAGCTAGTTGATATAGATCCGTGGGGCATATAGGTTTGTTTCCTGTTGTGAGGCACAATTTATTTAAGTTGGACTTCTCGGACTAAGCCGGTTAATATTAATTTCACTGCTTATAACAATAAGAAAAAAAAACATTTAAAAATTACAATGGTGAATACAAATGATTATTTTATATGAATGAATGAATGAATAATTCTTGAGAAATTTGAGTCACGATTTTTGATACTAACAATACAGGATAAATTTGAAGAATAGAACAAAAATTGAAATTTCTAAGGGAAATTTTGCTTGGATTAGCAAACAAGTCTTGAACTGTTAAAAATTTCTGGGTTAATGGATACATTGTGGGGGCAAGAAATATTGATCAATCAATGGAAACGGATAAATGGATTTTATTGCTGCTCGAATCAAAGAATTGATCTGGAAAAGTAACAGATGTAAGAAAAGAGAGAATTCTTTTAATAACAACAGATGAAGAATTTTAACAAGTGATCCAAAACTAAGATTGAAAAACAGATTTTCTACAATATGACTGATTATAAAAAATAAATCGCTAAAAAAATATACTCCATAGATATGTTAGTGTTTGATAAAGTATGTCACAAAGAACTGCTAAACTCCACAATCCTTTCATTAGTATGCAATTTACCAGGACTACATTATTTTTTAAATTCAGAGTTGTTTTTCTCCTAGACTGATTGATAACCAAGGCTGAAGCATCCAGTTTGCTCTATAGCTAGTGGAAGAGAAGATGGATTTATACCTTTCCTTGATGTTTTTTTTTGTTTTTTTTAATCAGTTCACCCCATGTAAGGTGATAATGCCACTAAGATGCAAATATCAGAGATCAAGAAGTTAAAATTGATATCAGCTATGTAAAATTATCAAAGATCAAGAACTCAAAACTGATATCAGCTATGTAAAAATATCAGAGATCAAGAAGTCAAAATTGATATCAGCTATGTAAAAATATCAGAGATCAAGAAGTCAAAATTGATATCAGCTATGTAAAATTATCAGAGATCAAGAAGTCAAAATTGATATCAGCTATGTAATGATATCAGAGATCAAGAAGTCAAAATTGATATCAGCTATCATATAGTCATTGTAAACTCCACAATCTTTTTATTAGTATACAATTCACCAGGACTACATTCTTTTTTAAATTTAGAGTTGTTTTTCTCCTAGACTGGTTGACAACCAAGGCTGAAGCGTCCAGTTTACTCTACTATTTGGCTCATAGCTAGTGGAACAGAAGACGGATTTATACCGTTCCTTGATGTGTTTTTTTTTTAATCAGTTCACCCCATGTAAGGTGACAATGCCACTAAGATGCAAGGGGCTACTGGGAGTGAAAAAGTGTGAGAAGATTTTAGAAGAACCAGAAGCCTAATCCTAAACAGGAAGAAGAGTTAATTGCACAGTAGGTGAACCTAGCTACACCTATAGGGGAAAAAATAAATTATATATAGTAAATAAAATTTCAGAGTTTAGGTGGTGACGTTAGAAGTATAGAGTTGAAGATGAACTTAGCAGGAACTGGAAATCCAATCCTAAACAGGAAACAAGGGATAAACATCTACTCTTGTTCAAAAAACGAAGGAGGAGTGTGAACCAGATGTGGGAGAGATATTACAATAATCCAGAACTTATAGTGGGAGTATATCACTTGTATATGAATAGAAAATAAATTCAGTAAATATTTACCTATTTTGAAACTGTTTAGCTAAAATTCGTTTGATTAAATTTTGGTGTTTATTTTGTTTGCTGTGCTTTGAAAAATAAGTATTTAAAATACCCAAGAATTAATAAGTCCTACTGACAGAATGAAACAGAGAGATAACATGAAGATAGCAAGAATCCAATCAATGCCATTTTATTAAATTCAACCGACAAGGTCTGTCTGTTTAATATGGATTATTTTTTATGACATTTGCGAAGGATATTTGATCAATCCAGAAGTGGAAACAAACTACATGCATATAAACAGAAAATGAATTCAGTAAATACACAAAAATAGAAAGGAGCATAAGACAAGGATGGGTCTTCTCACCAGACCTATTCAACCTTGTATTAAACCTGAGAAAATTAAAAATCCTATCAGGATTTATTATTGACAGTCACAATCTTAACATTAGATGTTCAGATGACAGAGTGTTGATAGCACGCATAGAAAGGAAACTACAGGAATTTCGACAGAAAGTAGTAAAAGAAAGCAAGAAGAAAGGACTAAGCATTAATTGTAAGAAGACAGAATAATAATAAACGGGCATTATCTACATTATTCGGACTATTGTCTTCATCTTTGTCGCCATATTTATCACAACGTTTCGGCCATTGTACTCTCCGGCCTTCTTCAGGTGGTTGGAATTTCGAACTGAACCCTTTATTTCGCTCACTGGGGTAGACTGTTCTAGTTCCACGTGCCATGTTTGATGGGTGTCAGTTATCAGTTATCTCCTGTTAATTTCCCTCTCCAAGTTCTCCACAGCCTTAACCAGGTATTGAACTCACACTCTTTGGGTCCTGTCACTGGATCTAACCAACACCTTTATCCACTGTGCCATGTGAAGAAGGCCGGAGCGTGTAACGGCTGAAACGTTGTGATAAATATGGCGACAAAGATGAGGACAATAGTCCGAATAATGTAAATAATGTACATAATACCTCATCTCAGAAATATAGACAGACTCAGAAAAATACAATATTTATAAAGGTAAAAGTCAATAGGAAAACTGTATTATTAGTCGATGCATTTCGTCCAATGTGGACTATTTCAAGGCAAAAACAAAATGAATTTATTAAAACTGTTAAAACAAAACAAAATGTCCTTAGCAACGAGTAGAATTTTAAAAAATTTAATTTCAGTTAACAAAATATGAATACAATAGTGTTTTTTAAATTCTTGCAGTTGTTAAGGACATTTTGTTTTGTTAACAGTTTTAATAAATTTATTTCGTTTTTGGCTTGAAAAAGTCCAAATTGGACAAAACGCATCAGTTAATAATACAGTTTTCCAATGTCTTTTACCTTTATAAAAATTATTATACGTATATTTATTAATATTTAAACACTTACATTTTAAAAACCTTGTTACAATAATAGTAATAACTTAATGTATGTCATCATTTTTGAAAGCATGGGTAAATTAATATTGTAAAATTGAATATAAAAGTAGAGGGTTTGAAATGCTACGAAAGGAAGTAATTCTTTTTTTGTTTTCTTATGTTTCATACTAACTTGCAAATCTAAGATGCTATATTTGATGATTTATTTTTGTCCTTGGGAACTTGAACTAACTTTCTCACATTGCATCGACTGCAGATCTTTCATGTGATGGGAACTTTGTCGGAGACACAGGAATGCACTTAGTTTTCATGCTAAGCTTCTGAAGTCCAAAATAAAAATGTCTCTCACACCTACACAACAATGCAACTAATAAACAGTTGTCACATTTGTGCAATCAAATAAACTTCCTTTGGACTGTTTGAATTGGCAAAATATATATATATATATATATATATATATATATATTTATATATTTATATATATATATATATATATATATATATATTGAAACAAAGTGTATACAAAAGCTATAAATGGTGACACATTTCGCTCAACGTCTGTTACTTTCAGCTTCTTCAGGTCAGAATGAAAGACAAAACCACTGTTTGTTAGAAAAATGCGCTGCGATATTTGAGGGTAAGAGAGGCTATAAATCAAAGTACCTTATCAGATCCAATGACCAGAAAACAGAAAGTGTCTGAAAGTGTTTGTTTACTTTATATATATATATATATATATATATATATATATATATATATATATATATATATATATAAAAATGTCAATGTCAGTGTGTCACACTTTTTCAATCTTACTCCTACAAGCCGTAGCCCAACATATCACACCATTTTGAAATCATGTTAACTCCATAAACAAATTAAAAGCATTCCAGGCTGGATCCAAACACAAAATTCTGAAATTTTGGATTCCCAAGTTTTCATTACTGCAATTGTTTTTGAAGATGTTTTTTATTTTTTGCAAATTTTTTTGTACGATAACAATTTCTATAACTTGGAAATAAATTTGGGAATAATCAAAATTAATTGCAAAATCCAGTGAAAGTCACCCATGAAATAAAAATAATTGTTTGTATGGAAAGTAAGGACCTACATACATCAAATTGTCTTCAAATTAAGTGGCGACAGAAGAATTATTGTTGAACTTTTAAAAGATAAGCTTAGATATTAATGCATTACTTAATACAGTGATCAGTTTTGAATTCTGTAGTTTATTGTTGCCTATTGCATCTACTCCTCCCTACCTATTGTGATGAATGCTCAATGAAGAACCCTTGCATGAGCTAGCATAAATGCTACCAAATAGAATGGCTTTTAAGCTGGTATATATATATATATATATATATATATTTGATGATGTATAGCACATACAAGAAATGATTCATATCTAATCCGAATTTGATAAACAAACAAGAAATTTTAATGTGTATATAAAGTGGGTGATCAATTCTATATTACAATCAATATATAAACTGACCCCTCACATTGTGGCCACGTTGGTTTTTATACTTTTATATTCTAGAGAACGTAAATAAATCTAAAAGACGTGTCAGTATTTGATTAATTGATTGATTTGTTTTTATGACTTATCAACCCTTTGCAGGTTATTTAAAGCCAGAAAATATTTTTAGATTATAAGAATTTTTT